TATGGCAGAAAGAGAAGAGGAAGCCTCTTGATGAAAGTGAAAGAGCAGAGTGGAAAAGCTATTAAAAACCTAGAGAGCAGAGACATTACTTTGTGACAAAGGTCCATCTAGTCAAATCTATGGTTTATCCAGTAGTCATATATAGATGTGAGTTGGACCATAAAGAAAGCTGACTGCTGAAGAATTGATTCTTTTGAATTGTGATGTTAGAGAAGATTCTGGAGAGTCCCCTGGACTGCAAAGAGATCCAACCAGTTAATCCTAAAGGAAATCAGTCCTGAATATTAATTGGAAGGACCGATGCTAAAACTGAGGCTCCAATACTTTGGCCACCTGATGAGAATTGACTCATTGGAAAAGACCCCATTGCTGGGAAAGATTGAAGGCAGGAGAAGGGGACGACAGAGGATGAGATGGTTGGATGGCATCACTGACTCGATGGACGTAAGTTTGAGCAAGCTCCGGGAGTTGGCAATGGACAGGGAAGCCTGGCATGCTGCAGTCCGTGGGGTCCAAAGAGTCAGACACGACTGAGCGACTGAACTGAACTGAACTGAATAAGACTGCTGTGAACAAAGCTTAGAAGAGTGCCTCCACTAGAAAAGCACTAAACAAGCATGACTCTCATCAGCTGGCTTGTAAAAAGAGGGAGTTGCTAGAAGAACAGGTTTAGGCATTCCAGGAAATCTTGGCCATCAGGAATTCAGGTTTGAACACGTCCAGGTTGTACTGGACATCCAAGTGAAGATGTTCAACAGGGAGCTGGACACAGCAGTTTCACCTGAAGGTCAGGGCTAGGGTAATACATCTGGGAGTCAATGACATACAGACCAGTATTGAAAACTGGAAAACTAAAGAATATCCCTCTAGGGAGTGAACATAAAATAAAAAAGCTTCCATGACTGAGCCTTGGGGCCCTCAACATTTTAGAAGCTGGGAAGCCAATAAGCAACTAACATCCTCCTTCCAGGAGGATTGTGGACATTAGAGTAAGAAAGGAGGAGTCCTCAGTGATGCTGGGAGGTCTAATAAGATGAGAAATGATACGTGATCCTTGGATTTCACAACACAGAGGCACTGGCCAGCCCTGTAAGAACAGTTTTGATTCAGTGGGGGATAAAAGGTGAAGAAGGTTCAAGAAAGATTGGGAGGGAATGAACTGGAAATAGCAAATATTCAGAGGAATGCTGTTGCGTAAAGGCACAGAAAAACAGGTTGGTGGGGAATGTGGGTCAAGTTTTTTGTTGTCTCACAGTGAACAAAACTATTGCAGTTTTTAATACCAATAATGATGTGTCAATGGGAGAATGAGAAATGGATGATCAAGAGGGAAGATAATTGCTGGGGCCCGGGCCAGAGGGGATAGAATACAGCGTACAAGAAAGAGGATGGCACAAAGAAGACTTACATCACTGATTATGAATTCATGTATTCAATAAATAGTCATCGAGCAAATATGTAGTTTGTGCTGGGCACTATTCTAAACACAGGAATGTATCAGTAAACAAAACAGATGGTTATATGAGAAAACATATGCAAAAGTACTTAGGATAATATGCCCAGGACATGCTAATCACCTAAGCAATGCTGGCTAACTAAATACAGATAGAGGTGAATTTGTTCATCCAAATCTTTGACAAAAATATGGACCAAGATAAGAGTCCCAAAACCTTTCGTGAGAGAACTATCAGAGGAATTTAAATAACGAGCTTTTGAGTTGACAGAATACTCATAAGAAAATGAGAAAATAACTTTAGATCTCAATGAATACCACCTCTTAATTGTGCAGAAGAGTTAAAAACAGAAAGCCAAGTAGACCTACCCAGTTACTAAACTAATTCAGTGAAAAACTGAGTCAAAATTAAAACCCAGTCCTCCTACTTCCTACTTTGATTTTCATTACACTTTTTAAGTCTCACTCCCTCTCTGACAGAAAAGCTAAAAATATTAACATTGCATTTCTCTTCCCTCTACTTCTGCCTGGCCTTTTGCCCCCCTTCAATTTACCACAGGCTGTACATCACTCCCTACCTTATTTATTTTCCCTACTTTATCTTCATCCAGTAAAAACTACTGAGAGAGTCATTTCCTAGGCAGGTTGATAAGAAGTCTAGGGGTCCCCTAGGAGAGAGGGGTCTGGAATTCTCAAGGAGGAAGAAAGGACAAACTTTACTTTTTTTTTTTTCCCTCTAATCCTGTTATCTTAAAACAATAAGGTAGCCTGCCTGAGGACAGTCTCTGGATTAAACCTTCTGGCTAATCCTGTTATCTTAAAATGTAAATTATGGGAGTAGGTCTGGTGAGGTCTTAACAACCTGCAGACATTCTTTGGATTCACTGGAGAGTATATAACTCCATTGCTAACACTAGCAAGCAGGTACTCTTGCTAGTCTACCCCCCCTTCTGATGTCTATGTCAGAAGCTTTCTGTATCTCCTTTATACTTTAATAAAACTTTATTACACAAAAGCTCTGAGTGATCAAGCCTCGTCTCTGGCCCCCAGATTGAATTCTTCCCCTCCCGAGGCCAAGAATCCCAGCGTCTTTTCAAGGTTCAGCATCAACCTTTCACTATCACTGTTTAAAAGATGTTTTGGAGGAGATTTATTTTAGTTACCAAGATAACAGAGTATTTCCTAAGCCCCACCCCCCAAAAAAACTCTCCAATGACACAGAGTCCTACACATCATATATACTTTCCCATCTGGAATTATGTAACTTGTGAGAAAAAGCTACCAAGTTGAAATATCAACATGTCGATGTTGCCGATGAAGAACTTTTACAGTAAATGACTTTGTAGATGTTAAAATGAGAATATTTCAGAAACCAGTAAAACAGAGGGCTATTTTGTTTTCTACAAAACCTTCAGGAAATCTATTCTTTTTAATCATTACCAGTACTTTCACCACCATGCATGGTAGCAGATTCATTTCTTATTTTTAGTACAGGAGCCAAATTGCAGATATGTCGAGGAAAAATGCCAGTTACAAGAAATACTCACTGAAACACTAATTAATTTTCCCTTTTTCTTTCTGTGTATTTCATAATGGTTTAACAGGGCTCACACACTCAGTTTCAGTGAATAAGCATTCTACTTCAAACCATCAATACAGCAGAAGTTTATCTAATATTTCAGTTATGCTATCTGGCAAAATCAACCATCTTATCTTTTGGCTTTCAAGCTTCAGACTCTTAAGTTCTGATCCGAATTCCCATTCAAGATGTTTTTTCTTTTTCAATCTTAGAATGTCCCTCGATTCCTAGTTAAAATCTACCACTCTTGTTTGATAATTGCTGTTCTACACTTATTTTTTCAACTGCCCTTATCCCCCAGATGTTACACATCCGTACTGGTATATCATTCTGGTAAACTTCTACTTCCACCAACCAGTAAAAGCGGCCAGAACATGAGGGGCCATTCTAGACCTCCATATTTTATCTCAGCTCTTACTTATTCTGGGCTTCCCTGGTGGCTCAGTGATAAAGAATCCGCTTACCAATGCAGGAGACCCAAGAGATGAGGGGTCGATACTTGGGTTGGGAAGATTCCCTGGAGTAGGCAGGAATACTAAACCAACTTCAGGACCCACAGCACAAACCAAGTCCTAAGTGCTCCACAAGCTTCAAGTATAAGCATGCTTCCTAGAGGAAGTTGTATGGGCGATCTCAACCAAAACCAAGCACTGCTTTTTTCAAACCCAGCAGAGCTGATCCAGTTTTCCACATCCTGGTTTGGACACACGTATCTTTTAAGTATTGATCAGCAGTCCTGTCTTACAGGCTGCAAACCTCGGAGACCGAAACAGTGCCAGGCGCCTCCAGAGTAGGCACCCACCCAGACTATTAACAGCACTGATGAGAAGTCTGATGTTCATGTTTCTCTTCCATCCTTTCCAGCCGCCCTACGAAGCAGATGCTACGCATCATCCCTATTTACAGACTCTGGCTTCCCTGGTGGCTCAGAGGATAAAGCGTATGCCTGCAATGAGGGAGGCCCGGGTTCGATCCCTGGGTTGGGAAGAACCCCTGGAGAAGGAAATGGCAACCCACTCCAGTATTCTTGCCTGGAGAATCCCATGGACAGAGGAGCCTGGCGATCTACAGTCCACGGGGTCGCAAAGAGTTGGACACAACTGAGCGGCTTCACTCACAGCCAAGCTCCGGGGGTCAAGTGGCCCGCCCTGGTCTCGAAGGTGGTATAAAGGGCATCGACCAGGACTCCCTCCGAGCCGGACGCACGTGGACGCGGCCCCCTCCCCAAAACCACACAAGGGGGTGCCACTCGCATCCCCATCAGAGCGGCCCCGGAGGCAGGCAGGGAACGGAGACACCTCGCCCCCCACCCAAGTGGAGGCCACACCCGCCGAACTGCAGCGTTGGGGCGTGGGGGGAGATGCAGGCCAAGGTGAACTGGCTCGTTGTCACCCAGGCAGGGCCTCTCCTGCCGGCCACTCCGGGGCCCGAGCCGAACCCCGCGTCCAGGGGGAGCCTGAGGACTCCGCAGGGCCCCGATGAGACCAGACGCTCGGCCTTGGGGCCGCTGCCCGGGAGACTGGCCGGGGGCCGAGGAGCTGTGCTCCTCGAGTTCGAGGAAGCCCAGGCGGGGACGACGCACCTAGAGCGAAAAGCAGAGGCGGCTCTGCTCGCCCTCACCCTGGAACAGCGGCGGGAGCTCCTCAGTGGCTCACCCGGGGAAGCGGAGACACTCGAGCAGCCGTTCTCCCCGAGCGACGCGGGAGGAAAACGCCAAGCGCCGGCTGCATCCCGGACAGTGTTGTGTGCTACACCGCTCGTCGTCCCGCCCCTTCCTGTACCGCCCCCCGCCCCGAACCACTTCCGGCGGCTGCGGCTCGCTTGACACTCGCTTGAGCCATCCCGGGCCCTTCCCTTGCAGCCAGGGGTTCTCCCTCTGTCCGTCCCTCGGCTCCCGGCAGCCAAGCCGCGGCGGGGTGGCCGGCCCGCGCCGTTTTGCACTGTGGCCGCCTCCTCTGAGGCGCTGCGATGTACTGCAAGAAGTGGAGGCCTGTGGCGGAAATGTGTCTCTTCCTCGAAGACCTGCGGGAGGGCTCGCGCATCCTCTGCCTTTGCTCGCGGGCGTTTGTGGAGTAAGTCCGACACGGGCCACTCGGTCCCCGACCTGTGGGGCTTGGGCTGCAGTCCCGTGGTGATGGAGCCCTAGGAACCGTGGCCAGCGCGTCCGACCCTCGGGTACCGTGATGCTTACGAAAAAGGGGAAAACGTCCTCGGGCTTCAGAGGGTGGAGTGGTCGCCTGCGGCCCTGAGGTGAAGGAGGAAATCTGCTTTGTGGGCTGTTAGGGGAAAACGTGGTGGCCAGTGGTTGTTATTTTACACTCGCCACCTGAGAGGACGGTTACAAGCCAGGGGAATGAAATGCGAATGAAATTGATCTGGGATGTGACCTCACGGGGTGAAGGTTTGAAGATGACTGACTTTTGATTCACATCTGTTTTTAAAAACACTGTTGGTCTTCCTTGGTGGTTCAGATGGTAAAGAATCTAACTGCAATGCAGGAGACCTGGGTTCGATCCCTGGGTCTGGAAGCCTACTCCAGTATTCTTGCTTGGAGAATTCCATGGGGGGAGGAGTCTGGCGGGCTACAGTCCATGAAGTCGCAAAGAGTCAGACGGGACTGAGCGACTAACACTTTCACTGGAAACTGAAGAAAGTGAAATATACTTTCTGGTATTACACCCATGTGATGTTGTCTAGTGGTGATCTCTAGGATTTCATACAAAGCATAGCAAAATCATTTTCTGTGGGTATTTTCCCCCACAACAGATTCCCAAACCAGAATTTAAGAGCACTGTCCTTAGAGACAAAATATCTGGTTTCACATCCCAGCTCTGCAGCAAATGAGCTGCGTGGGCAGTGGGCGAGTTAAAACATCTCTGTGCTCCCTTTTAAGCCGTTTCAGAAAGGATTCCCTTTCCTTTTGACCGCTTTCATGAATGCATGGTCCCCTTACAGTAGAGAAATGGCTACTTCCACTTCAGAGATTTCCAAGAGTCATTTACTCGGCATGTGTTTTGACCACCCACATGTCTGGTGCTGTGAGAAAAAGCCGACTTAGAAACAGTAGTGATGGTGGTTGTATTCAAGGTATTATGATGAGCTGCTTGGCCAGGCCTCTTTATAGGGTAGTGTCTTCTTGCCGTCACTCCACTGCAGGTCTGGTCTCCAGCCTTACAATTCAGTTCAGCAGTTACAGTTCACTTGGTCTTTATCATGTGCCAGGTCCGCCTGTATGTGTGCATGTGCTTACTTGTTCAGTCTTGTCTCATTGTGATCCCGTGGACTGTAGCCTGCCAGGCTCCTCTGTCCATGGAATTCTCCAGGCAAGAATACTGGAGTGGGTTGCCATGCCCTCCTCCAGGGGATCTTCCTGATCCAGGGATCAACCCTGCCTCTCCTGCATGGCAGGCAGATTCTTTACCAGCTGGGTCACCAGGGAAGCCCACCAGGTCCAGATAACATATCCCCAGTCACTCTGTTTTGTGGACTGAGTTACACTTAGCAAACTCAAAGATTGCTCTATAGAGATCTCTTAGCAGGTATAACAGGAAATTCTTCGAATACTCAGCATCAGAAATGCACCTTCCCTGGTGATGAGCACTCTTAGAGATGTTTGAAAGTTGCCCTAAGTGGGAAAAAGAATTTCCATAGAAATGTGAGAGCTGGCAGTCTTTCTGCCTCAGATCATCTGTAGCTTTGGGGTAGACTGGTGACAACCTTGGGCACCTGTCTCCCTTGCTCCTCAGCCACGGACAAGGGTCTTCTGCTCCATCCTCTGGACCTGGCAGGGCCTGCTAGGCTGCCCCAGCACCTAGAAGGCAGGCAGGCAGGCTGCCACTGTGGGCTGCACGGAGCCCCATGTCCTTGGGTCTTGGCTGGCACACCACTGATGCCCTTTTGTGGCTGCCCTCCCACCCACTGGGGCCCCAAGTTGTTGGGGATCAGAGGGCATATTGCCAATTGCACTTCATCCCCTCCCCATTCACTGTCCTTCTAAGTCACCACCTACGTTATATTTCATGAAGTACCAAAAAATAAATAAATGGGGAATATGAAATACATCAAGTGTACAAGAGTTTTGCTTTGTTGGATTTATTGTCACTCCATTAGAAAAGTTGTATTAGGTCTTCTTGCAGATGGCCGTGTCATGGCAGATACAATGGAATGTATTACAGATTGATTTGCTGGTAGGAAGATAATAATAAAATAATAACCCCCCCCTTTATTTTATTTTTTTTATTTTTATTCCCCCTCCCCCCCACTTTAAGTGTTCTGCTAGGTTTATTTTGGTTATGAAATTCCTCTCTTAGTAAAGAAGAAATTTAAGAGGAGATAATGTAAAGAAAAGTTTTATCTATTCACTGTTTTTAAAACTCACTGAAACCGAATTGTTTAATCTTGATTTATGTTTCAGTTTAGCAAGAACTTCATTTTATGTTAGTCTCCAAAACAAGCTCAGACCATGACTGTTTTGTCTACTAGTCCTATTTGCAGATGGAGTAGGGTCTGCACATGGGTTTGTAAATCTGTAAGATAAATCTTCTGACATTTATGCCGACTTCGTACTGCAAATTTATAAAATATTTCCCTGTTTGTTTATCACAAGGAGGATCAGATTCTTCCACCAATATCCAGAGCTGCCACTTAACTTTAATAATTGGTAGTTATCATTATAATGTGCGTTGCATAGGATTATACCAAATGTTTTACATGTACAGTCAATCCTTGTTAGAACCCTGTAGCTATGTGTTATCACCTCTGTATTACAGATAAGAATAATGTGTTAGCAGAGAGCTCTTCTGTTTTTTAACCTTTTTATTAATCTGTGCTGCCTTAACCTTGTTTTTCCTCTAGTTTAATTTTGTCAGTATTGACTCTTTAATTTGCTTCACAGAGATCGGAAATTGTACAATTTGGGACTAAAAGGCTACTATGTTAAAGACAATGACAACAGTGCAGGTAATACGGTATGAAGGCATATAGCCCCTTTTTTACTAAAATTAGCCATAATACTGTATAGAGAAGATGCGGAAGCGAAGCAGGGAGGTTATTTGACTGGTCGTAGTTTAAGCACTTGCCTTATTTGGGAAAGCTTACTTGGCTGCTCATGCATGGTGTGCTTAAGTTTCATATTATCAGATCCCAGTGCCCTGGCTCTGGCTTAGGTTTTGGTTTGCTGGCTTAGGTTACCCAGGCATTGGAGCCAACTTGCTCTCACGGCCTCCTTGTTTCAGTACTTCAGCAGTTTCGTAGGTAAATGGTTCAGGGTCAACTCCAAGGGAATATACATAGTCTGGCCTGAAGTAAGGGTGCTGCCACCTGTATCAACTCTCCCACATAACAGATAGAATCTCGTCTACACTTTGAGCCTGACCCAAAAACCACCTGGGCCTCTGTCAGACTTCCCTGTTAGGACCCCATTTGTCCCTTCCACGTGGATCTTTATGTTTCTCCAGATATGGAGGGAAGACTGCAGCCCAAGTTGTAGTAGGTGAAACCAGAACAAGTAGCATGTCATGTGACCAAATTCCCCACCTCTCACATGACGGAGCCATCATTGCATCGTCACTTACCTACCCGGTAGAGTGTTTGGTTGTGTTTCAGTGTGACAAGTAAGATTCCTCTAGACCCTAGGGTCCCACTGAACAGGAGGCAATATGCATAGCCCAAGGGGAGCATACAGCATATGTAGCTGATTCATCTTCCCTGTTTGTTCTCCTGAGCCTCCATGTTACGTGGGCTGGTGAGTGGAGTCTCCTTTATTACCTAGATCAGTATCTTTCCCTCTTTGGCTTTTAGTAGAATTTCTGCCCATAGGATCTCTTAGGCTTCATCTGTGCAGTGTAAGATTCCCATTCTGTTGCCTAAGATTGTTTAGCTGCAGTGCAGCTCAGCCCTAATTGAGTATGTTCATATAGAGTGTTTTGTCTCACATTTTTTAAATAGAGCATTTGAGTGCCTTTTGTCCAATTAGTGCTATGATCTACTTTTGGATAACCATAATAGGATAAAATAAAACAGGTTTTCTCTAATCAGGGAGCTTGAAAAGATCTTCCAGTTCAGTGGATTTCAGACCTTTTTAATAGTGAAATCTTTCATTAAATGAACTTTCCCACAGAGTCCCAGGCTGTAAATCCCAGTTGAGATTGAAGTACCCCTGAAGGGCCTAAAGACCTGCCTCTCACTTTTCTTATTACCAACTCCTAGAATAACTCCCCAAGTCATCATGTTAAACCCACTGCTCTAGTGCAGCGGTGCTGCAGATGGGAATGTGGAAATGGGGCAGGTTTTCAGGGCTTCCCTGCTGTGTTCCTTCACACATCCTCAGTCCGTGCACAGCGCCGAGCAAGAGGAGGCGCTCTGTGCGGTGCGCTGAGTGGGCAGCTGGGTGGACAATGGCAGGCGGAGCCAGACTCGAAGCTGTGTCTTAGCTCTAGGAGGCTGTTTCCTCACTAGTCCACATTCCCATCAATTCCTTTTTTTCTTCCTTTTATTTTTTTTCCCCTTAAAAATTGTCACATTTGCACACCTTTACTTTGAGCAAGTCATGTAATGACTCTGGATCTCAAGTTCTTTTTCATTAAAATGAGGACGATAAAACCTGCATTTAAATCTTCTCTGAAACTAAGCTGACATAACAACCACTGTGTGTAGGAGAAGAAGCCACGGACGAGGAGGAAGGCAGCCATTCCCAGGGCCCTGCAAAGCCCCATGACAACAGATGCCCAGACCCAGCTGAGAGTGAACTGGATTCCGAGGCTGAACTCATGAGGAGTATGGGATTGCCCCTTCAGTTCGGTAGGATATCCGCACATAAGAATTTTGAGGTAAGTGTTAGTTTACTTTAATTGTTTGTTTCTTAATTTTCTTCATAAAATATCACATGGAATTTTTTTATCCCAAATCTAATGCTTTCTTGAATTAGGACACCTCCCAGCTGGTGCTAGCGGTAAGGAATCAGCCTGCCAACACAGGAGACCTAAGAGACACTGATTTGATCCCTGGGTTGGGAAGATTTCCCTGGAGAAGGGCATGGCAACCCACTCCAGTTTTCTTGACTGGAGAATCCCATGGACAGAGAAGCCTGGTGGGCTACAGTCCATACGGTCGCAGAGTCGGACACGATGACTGAAGCGACTTAGCACACACAGATACACCTGTTTTTAAGTGTATGTACGTATTTATAAGATAACTAGAACTTATGGTTCTGGTTGTGATATGTCTCATGCATGATGATTCCTCTTTTTAGGAACGCAGATAGTACTATTCACTTGTTCGTGTCACTAAAACCCAGGTTGGGAGGTTAAGGGTATTTTGTTTAATGTCAAGATAGATTTAAATTCTACCTATTCTTATAGTTTCTTAAGTGCAGTTTATATTCAAGTTATTTCTCTTTGTAGGAATCTATGAATACTAGAAACAAAGTTAAAATAATGAAAAAGAAAAAACATCAAAAGAAGTACTTAGATGAAATTAAGAGAGAATCCTGGAGACAATGTGAAGAAGATGACATTTCAGCTTCGGACGATCCTTCTTCATCTGAGAATGAGAACACCAGAAAGTACAAACTTCAAAGCCAAAAAGACGTTGAGGCTGAACGTTTTCCCATTGAAAACACAGTAGATCCAAAGCTGGAAATTACAGAGATGTGGGAAAAGTACTGGAATGAATACGGTGGAGGACTGCTGTGGCAAAGCTGGCAAGAGAAACATGCAGATCAGACCCTATGTCCAGAACCATGGAACGTTCCAGACACAAAGAAGGAGTGGGAGCAGCACTACAGTCAGATGTATTGGTACTATCTGGAACAGTTTCAGTACTGGGAAGCTCAGGGCTGGACTTTTGATGCCTCACAAAGCCAAGATACAGACCCTGGTGGGTCTAAAATAGAAGTTGACAACAAGAAAGATGAAAATCACGTGAAAGCAGACGAACTTTTTTCTCCGTCTTTATCCGTTGGCAGCAAAAACTCTAGTTCAAGTGATAAAGATCACAGTGAAATTCTCGATGGAATTAGTAACATAAATCTAAATTCAGAGGAAGTAGAACAGAGACAACTAGATATTTCCCTAAGTTTTGATGGACGTCAGTGTTTGAGTGAAGTTCCCAGCAGAAGAGAATGCCCTGCTTCTGGCCACAGTGAACCGAGTCATGGAGGAACCACGGAAACCAGCTCGTCTGGGAGCAGAAGTACAGACCAGCCAGCTCAGGGTAAGACTGGCCTAGATTTTTGGTGCTTGTCTTTTTGTTATTTCCGTTATTAATTTAAGAGCTATATAAGAGACCGTTAGATGTATTTGCTTCTTAAGAAAGAGAAGTTGTTTTTAATTAAATGTGACCATGCCATCTTTAGAGTTACTTAGATTAGGATTTCATCAAAGTATGATAGCTAAGATGTCACAGAGGTATCTTTGTGGATTAATTTGTATAGATTTGGACAGCCATGAGGAAAAGTAGTTTCACAGTTCACTTTTTTTTTTTCACTTTGGCTACCCCCTGGCTTGAGGGATCTTAGTTCCCCAACCAGGGATCAAACCCAGACCAGAGCAGTGAAGGCATGAAAGCACCAAATCTTAACCTCTGGACCACCATGGAATTTCTTAGAGTTGACATTTCAAGTAGTTAGATCATGGGAACTTTTAGACTTTCATAGACCTAGCTGCAAATTCTGTATGTGGATACACAGAATAAATAGATGTGGTCTGGCATGCAGTTCTTTGCAGGAAAGGCCCTGGAAGATGTTGATTGCCTTTGGAAATGACAGAAGACTTGTCAAACCAGGGACAGAAACCCACTGTGATATCTCCACCTCTTTAGATTCACAGGAGTCCTCAGAAGCAAATACAGTCAGAGACGGACGCCACCCCAGTGGGACTGATGGGGACGAGAGTGGAGACGAGCCGCCTGAAGAGAAGCGAAGCAAACTCAAGAGGAGGTGAGCCACTCACCACCTTTCTCTCCAGCTCACACCAGCACGCTGTAGAAACTAGGGAGCTTCCTGAAGGAGAGCACACCTCTACCTGCTCTTTCTAAACAGCACGTGTTCTTGCTAACTCCTCAGTTTCTTAGAGGAGAGACTCTGTGTGTACTTGTGTGTACTTATATTCTTGGGACCTCGTAGGTTCTACATATACATACAGTGAGCTTAACTTAATTTGCAAGAGTTATTTCTCATCATTTTCATTTGTTACTGTCACCCATGTAGTAGAGATCACTAGAAGATTTCACAAAAGGTGGGGATGGTGGCTCAGAACTAAAGAAGCCGCCTGCAAGGCAGGAGACATGGGTTCCATTCCTGGGCTGGGAAGATCCCTGGAGAAGGCAGTGGCAACCCACTTGCTGGGAAATCCCATGGACAGAGGAGCCTGCTGGGCAATAGTCCCTGTGGTCAAAAATAGTTGGCCATGACTTAGCAACTAAACACAACACTGAGTTATTTAATATCACTTTCATCAGAACCTTCTTAACATTATTTTTTCTTCTGTAACTTTTTTGGTTGGGTTGATACCTCTCAAATATTTCACTGTTTGCTTTTAAGGAAAACCTCTAGAGATATCACTTAGGAGATTAGTTAAGGTTACAGGTTAACTGGTGTTTTTCCGAAAGAAAATGGAGAAATCTGTATTTGTACCATGTTCAGGAATAGACATAATTACTTGATTTAAGATTTGAGTGCTTGTTACTGTGTCCCAAACACTACTAGGTAATTGATCTCATTTGGTAATCCTGATTGAGCTACGCTTCTTCCTGTCTTTCTGGGTTTGTGAACTGTGGTTGACTATTGTGATGGGAAAGTTTACATTGGTTGACATTTAATATTTGCCTGAACTGGTGGGCTCTATAGTTAATGGCTTATCACTGTTTGCTTTGTTTGTTTAGTCACGAGCTGGACCTCGATGAAAACCCGGACTCAGACTTTGACAACGATGGTTCTCTTCTAGGATTCAAGCACGGCTCAGGGCAAAAGTAATGTTCCATCAACGCTGTTGTCTTCTAGAAATCTTAACCACTCAACAGTCCTCAAACTTTCTTGATACTCAGATAGGGAATGGTGGTTACCTATTTCCTGACATTTGAGGTGTTACAGTCAAAGCACTAACCTCTCTTATTAGTAAGAATTGTAGCACTAACACTGTGCATTTGATATATTCACATTATTAGTTGCACTTCATAGCAATCCAGTGTTTTTAAGTCTACAAAATTGTAACTGTCTCTGTACTCCAAGCCATATAGTCATTTAAAGCTAGAGTTTATAGAAGTTAGTAATATAAAGGGTTTTCCTGATAACTGCCACATTTTAAAATTCCTGGCAGAATTTATCTCTAACCACATGTAATTTTATTGAGAAATCACTTAGGTAGCTCTTGCTGCTATATATTCACAGAGATTTATTCTGTTACTTGGAATTTAACTTAACTGTTCTTCTATTTGGCGCACACAATTTCACTTAAAAGAGAAGGGTAGGGTACATTTTTTATTAAGTTTATAATATGGGTGGAAGATACACTTGACATTTAAAGCCAAACTCTTCAGAGTTTATCTGTAAGTGCTGAATTATATGTTACACTGTAGGTCCCTAATAGTCTGTAGGAGAGGCAGTTAGTGAGGCTTCAGAGAGTCAACAAAGGCTTCACAGTGGACATTTGTCTTCTGGGACTGGAAAAATTCAGATGGTTAGATCAGCAGATGTTTTCTAGTTACCTTAGTAATGGGGGTTTACTTCAGTAATGGGGGTTTACTTCTTAGGTGAGTTCAGATTGATTTAAGAATCTAGTGGCCACTTTCAAGATAATTTGAACATACCCAGAATAGGGTTAGAAGAGCTTTGGCATCACCTCACTGTGAGAAAAATTGTATTTTCCCCAATGAGCACTGGGGTTATAGTTTCCTGCTGTTTCTTTGTTACATTTTACAATATAACTTCTCCTTTCTGTTTTAAGTAAGATATGTTGATATTCCCACCTTTGGTCTTTCACATTTCCTTGAGAGTTAATCTACAAGCTAGACCCTAAAAAGTCCTCTGCATGTTTAACTTTATTTCCTAATTTCCATAATTTAAAAAAATGAAATAAAAGTATTGACTGCTAATAGGAGATAGTGAAAATTGTTAGTTTCTTCTCTTTTCGTATAAAGAAGCAAATCTGTAGACCCTCATGTCTGAGTCCACTGCTTTTGGTTTGGTCACAGATATGGAGGAATTTCCAACTTCAGTCACCGGCGGGTCAGGTATCTGCAGAAGAACATGAAGCGGAAGTCAAAGTCCTTGGACATGAGACGACAAATCAATATGAAAAACAAGCACATCTTCTTCACTGAAGAGTCAGAGAAAACTGGTTTTAAGAAAAGCAGAACTTTGAGTAAGGTGTGTGTAACATTTGCTCTATATTTGCAAACCCAGTCTCAGTTTGTGACCCTGGCTGCTTAATTATTTGCAAATGAGAACCCTGCTTCTTCTGGTTGTCAGGGCACCAAAAATTCTGTTCCATTTGCTTCTTCAAGGCTTTTTTTGTGTGAATGAAATTTGCAGAATGGGTAATTTGGGGGTGGTCTGATGGGGATGTTTGAAATCTACAAAGTAGTAACATGTGGAACAGTATATAGGTGATGTTGTCTGATGTGTTCAGTGACATCTCATCTGTTTCAGGCTAAGTACCATCCTGGAGGCTTGATATCTGACAGCAGCTTTTGTAAGCCTTAATCTTGAGGTCATCTAGAGGTGGTCAATCTTAACTTTGCACTGACAAGTTCACCCTGATGTCATGAGCGACTCACATTGTTAACTGGAGCACACACATCCCCTCTCTCGGATCTTACTGTACCAGCCTTCTGAGTACCTAGGAAACAAAAGTAATTAGAGTTGCTTTTGATTGGTTTCATAAGTGGTCCTTCTCTGTTATAGAAAAAGAGCACCATCCAGTGAGCAGTTTTGTATTTGCCACCTCTGGAGCAGCTCTGTAGAGCAATGAAACGAAGTCTCAAGTCCCATGATGACTTTCTTTTACCCGTAGGGTACATTATCTTTTCTTAACTTCATCATCCTTCCAAAGCATGCTACAGATTTATCCCTGGTTTTAGTTTTACTGTATTTCAGATTGCTTGGTTTGTGGTATTATTTTACTATGTGAGTGGCCCTGGCTATATCTGGAACAAATTTCCTAGTACCGGTTAGATCAGTCTAACCGGTACTGTGTTGGATGTGGTAGTCCCATACATTCGTGTGTAGATGAAGAGCTGAAACATAACTGCTGTGTGTGGCTGAGGAAGCAAAATCAGTGTGGCTGTTGTGCCCTTAGTATCTGATTGGTGCCCCCAAAGGAAGGTTCTGGGTCGTGGTCTCTGCCCATCGCCTGACTGTCACTCTTATTCTCATCTCCTAACTCTTAGGAAGATCTGTTATGAAGGATATTCTTGTTAGAAAATTGCATGGATGTGTGCATCATCTGACCTTGAGCATTGTTCATGTTTCAAAGAAGAAACCTATTTCTTAGGAATCACTTTACTGACTCTGCTGCTTTGTTAGAAGGTAGCTTGCATTTTCTTTAGATGGATTGACACTAGGTGTTTGTAGAGTTCACCTCTGATGCTGAGTACAGTTTAACATAGATCAAATAGCCTGGGCCATTGCAGAAATTTCTGTATAGTTGGAAAAACTAAAAGTTATGGCTCAACAATAGGTGAGTGCATTTGTAATGGTAATGTATAGTATGCTTATATTGTTAGAAGACCTAATGGAAAGTTACTGGAACAGAGACCTTTATCCTCTTAGTGTTGAGTGCTCACAGGAAGGTCATCATCTTGTGTTTAACTGAGATCATGGTATGTCCAAGTAATACAGTGCATTTAGGTTGGAATTACTTATTCACATTAACTTGTATGATGTAGTGTACGTATCTAAGCTAATACTGTGACACAGCTTGTCAAGTCACAAATGGTAAAGCAGGTAGACATGTTCTTTGTAACGGAGAATTAATTCATGCTTGTAACATATTTTAACATTTCAGGTAGAAAAATTTCTAAAATGGGTTAATGAACCAGTGGATGAGGAAGCATCGCCGGAGTCGGTTTCTCATAAAAACGTGCAGGACTCTTGCACAAGCAGTGGCTCAGAGGAACCAGAAGTGTCTGTTGAGAAGAGGGATGATCCGGTGGAAACGAGTGAGGCAGAACCTGGACCGTGTCCTGCCGTGTGTCCATCTGGGGAAGTGGGAGCAGAGAAGCATGACAGGGCCAGCCCAGAAGCCGCTGGGACAGATACAGAGGGCTGTGTGCCCCAGGCTGCTTCGGACCCTCGCCAGGCAGAGGCTGAAGGTGAGAATGTGCTCTCACTGTCACGGGCGGAAGGTCATTGTTCTCAGTGTGCCTTTCCCTCGTTATCGTTTACGGTCATCTACGCCTTCAGACTCAGAGCCCCCTTGGCTGAACAAGCACAGTAAAATAAAAAGTTAACTCACATAGGGAGCTATATGAGCACCTCCATCAATGCCATTAGACTGGCATCTGCCACCACGCTGCTCTGTAGGCTGCGTGTTCTGGAGCACAGCCCCAAACTCTAGTTATTTGATGTAACCACGCTTTAGATAACTTCTGTGATTTCCTCTTTCTGTAGTCAGCATCTGTATTGGTTCTGTTCTTTTGTTCTAGCTGAAAGTCCGAAGAAGAACAAGAAAAGGAAAAAGAAGAACAAAAAGGGGCTGAATCCGCCCCCTGAGATCGCTGCTGTGCCTGAGCTGGTGAAGTACTGGGCTCAGAGGTACAGGCTCTTCTCCCGTTTTGATGATGGGATTAAATTAGACAGAGGTAAAGTGGATGTGTAATTTTTAACTTTGTTTTGAAATAATTTCAGATTTGTAGAAAAGTTACAAGAATTGTAAGAAACTTTCATATCCCGTCTACTCAGACTGAGCTCTTTCTACCCTTTTGCCACATGTGCTTTGTCATTCTGTGTGTGTGTTTTCTGATCCAGGTACTCCTACCCCTTAATACTTTGGTGTGTATTTTCTAAGAACAGTGATGTAACAATGATCAATTTATGTAACAGTGATAAGGTTAGAAATTTCACATTGTTACGGTGTTACAATCAACAAAGTAGTGCTCTCCTTTCATCAATTATCCTAATCATGTCCTTTGCAGTGTTTTTCTTCCTTCCAGTGTAGGATCATATATTATATTTATTTTCATGTTTCTTTAGTTTCCTTTAATCTGGGACAGTTCCTTAACCTCTTTGCCTTTCATGACTTTGACATTTTCCAAAGAACAGCTGCCAGTCATCTTCCACGGTGTCTCTCAATTTGTATACATACATGTTTTTTAAACTCTAGACTCAGGTTTATTCTGTATTTTTAGCACAATTGATAGATGATTAAACAGAACATCTGATGTGCAGAAAGCTGTAAGTTAATCAGTTTACACTGGAAAGTTTGAATTCTTTCTCCAGCTCTCCTACCATGACCTTAAACAGCTAACTTACACTCAGTTGCACAAACTGACACTTATTTTCATGTTGGGGCTACTTAAATATTGGTCTTTATTAACTGTCAAAATCAGGAGGTACTGATCTGTGGTGGAGTTTCTGAGGTTCCATGAACCTCTTTAAATTATTTGTAAAATGTTGTATATCAGGGAGCATACATAGAGATTGTTGGGGAAATAAGACTGAATAAAAACTGATAATTCTTTAATAGGAGGTTATGTGTTTATTCTTCTAGCAGTGAGGAACCATTTAAAATTTTGGTTAAAACAGGGGGAGGGAATAGGAAAATTGGTGCATCATTTTGTTCAGAGAAATATCATTCTGAAAAATGTAAATTCCTTCTGTTTGACAAGAAGGAGGAAGGCAGTGTCCTTTTCCTGTGGAGTGGACACAGGACTTCATTTCTGAAGATGAAGACAACCCTACAGTCCTGCTGTCACATCCTTGCTTTCTGCAGATTTTGCCAAGTGTCTGGTAGAAATCTGGGTCATTACTTCCCCTCTAGGAATGAATTAATTGCAAGCCTCAGTGAAGTTTGGGGAGTTGATCAGCTGGAACAGCTATCTTTCTATTTTCCACGATAGGCAGGCAGTTGTTACTACTTCAGACAGAAAAATCAGTATTACTTTCAGTTATTGGAGGGGTTTTGTAAAAGAATCAGGCAAGAGTAGAGGTGGTTGTTTATGTGGAAATTGGGACTGGGGATCGTACTGCTCTGTTTGTAACAAAATTTGTAGACCTTTCTTTCAAACTGGATAATATATGATTTTTTGAAAACAGAGACTGAGTTGTTTTTTAGGTATTTATTCACTAGTATACATCGATGTTTGCTGCGTCTGTGTCTGCCTTGGCTTCTTGACACTGAATGTCCTAACAGAAGCCTCTCCCTTTGCAGAGGGCTGGTTTTCAGTTACTCCCGAGAAGATCGCAGAGCATATCGCGGGCCGGGTCAGCCAGTCCTTGGAGAGTGGCACCGTGGTGGACGCCTTCTGTGGAGTTGGAGGAAATACCATTCAGTTTGCCCTAACAGGGAAGAGAGGTAATTGGTCATCAGTGGTTTACTCATTCATTAATTTCAGTTTATTCATCAGACGCTTCATTTTCCTTCAGCCCTATCTTTACTAAGATATAATCATTGATAATTTAATGCCAAATATTTAACAATAATAGGATATATTAAGACTACACTTTGTGTACTGGTGTAAGTGTTTAATATGTATCAATGTATTTAGTCAATAGTCTTGTGATAATGTATCTTTTATACTTTTTGGGTTTTACAAATAATCAGAGAAATAAAACATGCAATAATGTACCCAAGTTCACACAGACCCAGCTCAGCAGTGGCAAGATTATAACATGATATAAAAGTAAAACTATTAAAATGGGAGACTGTTCTCTGGAAGAAGAGAAGCGTAGATGGTGCAGCAGGGAAGGTGGGGCTTTGCCCTCACCCACTGTATGATTTTGGACTTCCTTTAATCTTAATGGAAAGGAGACATTAAATTGAGAGAACCGTGTGATACCTTTCAGCTTTGACATCCTAAGACACTAAGAACCTTTTAAATATTAGACTGTCCTCATGGTTGTTTGACTTCAGAATCCCAGAAAAGAAAACCTGTTACTAAATATCTGCCAGGAACTGTGTCGAGTAGATGGTACCTGTGCTGTTTCCTGGGATGGGTTTCGGGGGAGGCTTTATGAGACAACAGGTGGCCAGTAGCTGCCGTCTTGGACTTTGCAGTTCCCCGCAGTGTCCTCCAGCACCTGTCAGCACTTCGTTCACCTGCCAGTTTGAGTTGCTCACACTCTGTTTGGCCTGAAAACAAAGATGGCTTCCAGGAGAGCACAGATGAAAACAGGGCGATTAGCAAAATACAGTTGGTGTTGAAAGTCACTTTTTTCTGTTGAGTTTTTGCTGTCGACAAGGTATCTCTGCATCTGTCTCCATGCTATCAATTCAGCAGATTAAGCAGCTAAAAAGGACCTTGTTCCTTTTATAAATATGAATGTTATTTAGAAGAACAGTGTTGTGGATGTTTGATTTTGCAACATAGGGTTGGTACCTTTGTTCATTGTTCCAGTGATTTACTTAGTGCATTATTTCCCCAAAGCATTAACAAACCTTGAAACCAACATTTTCTGTAATACAGCTGTTTCCTTGTCAACCATGGTGTATGCATCAGGATTGCACTCCGCCCTTGCAGACATAAAATATTGCCACTAACATCCTGTTGCACACACAGGTGCACATGAGTAATTTACTGCAAGACATGAGTGAGTTGGAATTAACTTACGTTTGTGTTGCTAATTATGAAATTGAAGTAAATTAAATGAGAGCCCATACAGTAAAAACATGATGTCTGTTCCCTCTACCTAAAATGTCTCATTAAACATCACCAGCAGGTGTTTTTGCATCTCTTCTTCATAAGTTGGCTACATAGGTTTGTCAAAAAGTGTTTTATTTGCCTTTCTGTAGACACTGTCAGATCTGTCTACTTTTGGACATTGCCTCATCTTGAGGAAATTGGTCTTCTCTGAAATCTTAGCATTTCTAAGCTGTCTATGCAGCCATCACCTTCCCAAGTGTCTACCATCCAGCTCTCTTGACCACAGACCAGCTTTGGGATGCTGGGTAGCCACCTCATTGCTTGTCTTGGCTCAGCAGCCTAAATGAGATAGCTCTGCAGGCCACGTCCTTGGTCTCATTTTCTTGATATAGCACAAGTGAATCTTCCTAGGTAAGGTGAAATTTTTAAATTAAATTCTCTCGTTTATATGACGAAATCTCCCTTTAAAAAGTCTTTTTAAAAGGGACTTAAACGCACGGAAAATAAAGACTGATCAGAACATGAACTCGTCCGTATAACTGACAATCAGTATCATTGAACTCCTCTTTCTTGTTCCTATTTTTAGTGATTGCCATCGATATTGATCCTGTTAAGATCGATCTTGCTCGCAATAATGCAGAAATTTATGGCGTAGTAGACAAGATTGAGTTCATCTGTGGAGATTTCCTGCAGCTGGCTTCTAGTCTAACGGCCGACGTTGTATTTCTCAGCCCGCCTTGGGGGGGACCGGACTACGCCACTGCCGAGATCTTCGACATCAGCACCATGATGTCTCCTGACGGATATCCTTTGGAAGTCCTAGAGTTCACTCAAATGGTGGTTGTGGAGAGGAAGTGTTTGTGTGTGTGAAATTAGTGAACAGGAGAGATGTTAGCTAATAGCACTTGATAGATTCCAGTTTGTTTTACATAAAAATTAACTGGTGATTGATCGCCAAAAGTTACAGTACATATGAGGTTATGGTTACTCTCCAATTGTCCCATTAGAAAATAAGAACTGTTTGGAATTACTGTCTGGAAATCAGGGGTTTCCTCAGGACCTGTCCCTGGACTCTGGCTGACTGTCCCCTGACTTCATTTTAGCTCACACTGACCTGAGTTCTCTGTGTCTCCAAGTTCTGCCTGCTACTCCTCCTAGTTACTGGAGCAAACCCCTTATTTCAGGAAGAATAGCATGTATTATTTTTCCTTTTATCTCGATGCCCCAGAGGAGTCATTTATGGCTCTTAACAGGAATTGTTTTAAATCGCTAATGAAAATTTAGAAAAATACAGTGGACTGAGTTACTTGTCTTTATTCTTTACTAGAAAGATGTGGCTGTTGTACTTTCCCGTTCATCCTGTTTTCATAAAAACTAGGAAATAGCAGAAAGAAAGAAAGAGTGTGTGTTTCTAGCTCTTGGTTTCCTCCCCCTAGGATAATCCAATATATAGATTAAATTTCTAATCCCTGACCTGTTGGAAACAGTTCAGTCGTTCAGTCTGACTCTTTTTTTTTTTTCCATTTATTTTTATTAGTTGGAGGCTAATTACAACATTGCAGTGGTTTTTGTCATACATTGAAATGAATTAGCCATGGATTTACATGTATTCCCCATCCCGGTCCCCTCTCCCACCTCCCTCTCCACCAGATCCCTCTGGGTCTTCCCAGTGCACCAGGCCCGAGCACTTGTCTCATGCATCCAACCTGGGCTGGTGATCTGTTTCACTCTAGATAATATACATGTTTCGATGCTGTAGTCATGTCTGACTCTTTGTGACCCCCTGGACTGCAGCATGCCAGGCCTCCCTGTCCATCACCAACTCCTGGAGTTTACTCAAACTCATCTCCATTGAGTTGGTGATGCCATCCAACCATCTCATCCTCTGTCATCCCCTTCTCCTTCTGCCTTCAATCTTTCCCAGCATCGGGGTCTTTTCCAATGAGTCAGTTCTTCACATCAGGTGACCAGAGTATTAGAGTTTCAGCTTCATCATCAGTCCTTCCAATGAATATTCAGGACTGATTTCCTTTAGAATGGACTGGTTGGATCTCCTTGCAGTCCAAGGGACTCCCAAGAGTCTTCTCCAACACTGCAGTTCAAAAGCATCAATTCTTCGGTGCTCAACTTTCTTTATAGTCCAACTCTCACCTCTATACATGACTACTGGGAAAACCATAGCCTTGACTAGACGGACCTTTGTTCTGTTTTAGGTCCATTAGAGGTACTGTTGGGCTTCTCAGGTGGCTCAGTGGTAAAGAATCGGCCTATAAAACAGGAGACCCAGGTTCGATCCCTGGGTCTGGAAGATTCCCCTGAAAAAGGGAATAGCAACCTACCCCAGTTTTCTTGCCTGGAAAATTCCATAGAGGAACCTGGAGGGCTGCAGTCCATGGGGTCTCAGAGTTGGGCATGACTGAGCAACTAACACACACATAGAGCACTGTTCCATATAGGAATACATTTGGGTTATGATGTAACAGTTGAAGAACATATCTCTGTTCAGAAATCAACTGCTGTTTTTGTTACTTTTCCTTAACTACTGTCCACCTTTGAAATTTTCAGACTTTCCCAGAAGATCACTAAAAATATCGTTTTTTTTCTTCCAAGAAATGCTGATATCGACCAGGTAAGCCGTTACTGAAGATCTTCTATAAACCTCTGGTGTGACTGTTACAGAGACTGGACAGAAAAAGATACAGGGTATTTTTTAACTTGAGAGCATATTTATGAGAAGCCCTGGGTTTTTTTTTCTTTCTATTATTAGAAAATTGGAAGTGCTTAGCAGTTAAGTCTACCCATGCCCATTTCATCCTGTTCGTCTCTTTGGTTCCTGGCGTACATGACCATAAACAGAACACTCAGGGCTTTTCATTCCATGTCCTGAAAGGATGAATGCATTGTGTTCCAATCTTGCACACCTGACATAGCCAAGGTATCTTTACTGAAGCCTGCCTTGAGAATAGGTTAGGTATTCCTGAAAATGATAGCTTCGATGTAAATACACAGACAGATGAAACCTTAATGTGACCAACAATTTTTTCTATGGTCTTGAGGTGTAGGGCACTTGACCAACATTCACATGTACTTGCTCTATTCTTATCACAAACATTTATTTTAAACATGTTGGTTTTTTCCCTAGAATAATAACTGCTTCACAGAGGTCTGAGGATGTCTTGGTTTCATGCTTTCGTTGATGTGTTTTGTAATTACTTATCACTCCACTATTCTGGCCTGGAGGATTCCATCAACTATATAGTCCATGGGGTCGCAGAGTCCGATGAGCTACTTTCAGTTTCACGTTCATCACATATCTGCTTTGTGCTAAGTATGCTGTTGAGAATCCTTGGTCTTTCATCTTTAAGTTTTACTCCAGCATTGCTGGGTGTTGGTTTTTCCTTTCTCTCCCATTTGACACTTTGAGAGCTGACTCTCACTGAACTTTGTTCATCATATTTTACTCTGAAATTATCTCCATTATTTATTCAGCTATGTTCTCACCATCTGTTTCCCTTTATCAGGGCATCTGTTACATGAAAGTTAATGTCCCATATCTGAATTTTCTGGTGTTTTGTCTCCTTTTTCCTTCTGGGAGATTACTTCTATCTGTTCTTCATTCCTCACATATATAAATTCTTTCTATCCCATCTAATGTGTTTTTTGAAGAATAAATGAAACAAGAGGTAAATAGTTTTTCACAGTCCCTTCAGCCCTTAAATGTTCAAAAATTCTTGTGTCTGTTACTCAGAAGATCCTGTCATAAAGTTGTTGTGGAAAGAATGTAAACATTACTAAGATTTGGAAGAGGAACAGTAGGTAAAGATACCATGATTTCTCTAGAGGGGAAAGTGCACATCTTTAATATTTGTAAAATGGGGACTTCCCTAGTGGTCCAGTGGCTAAGACTGCTGCCACTGCAGAGGGCATGGGTTCCATCCCTGATCAGGGAACTAAGATCCCACAAGCCACAAGGTGCAAACACCACCCCCCCAAAATTGTAGAATGACAGAATCTAATTTATAAACACACATTCCAGATTGTAGATTTTTCTCTTCTCCTCTACCAGTCAGTAACACTTATGTACTGAACATGTACTTGTGTTAGTTTGTTATGCTTTCCTATCTCTGCTTCACCTGCTTAATCTTTGGAATGCTGGGTTTCAGATCTGGCTGCAAATTAAATCACCTGAGTAGGGTTTTTTTTTTTTAATTGTGGTAGAACATTCATGGCAAAATTCACCCTAAATCACTCTGAAGCATACAATCCAGGAACATTGAATATATTCATGTTGTGGTACAGCCGTCAGCATCATATGTCTCAGGACTTTTCTCTTTTCTGACACCGCAGCTCTGTACCCATCACAGACTAACTCCACATCTGTCCATCGCTGCCCCCAACACCCAGCTTCTACCCTCTGTGTCTGTAAATCTGATTACTTATATATACCTCAGTAAATGGAGTCATAGATATTTGTCCTTCTGTGTCTGGCTATTTTCACTTAGTATAATGTCCTTAAGGTTCATCCATGTTGTAGCATGTGTCAGAATCTTCCTTTATTTTTAAGGCTGAGTGACATCCTGTTGTATGCACACACATTTTGTTCATCCTGTCACCTGTCTGTGGACATTCAGCATTGTTTCCACTTTTTGACCGCTGTGGATAATGCTGCTATGAACACGGGTGTACACACGTCTGGTCAAGTCCTTGCTTTCAGCTTTCTTGGTTATGTATCCACAAATGGAACTGCTGGATCACATGGTGATTCTATTTTTGGGTTTTGGACTGCTCCCCACAGCAGCAGAATGACTTTACATTCCCAGCGGTAGTTCACAAGAGCTCTGACTTGCTCACAGTCTCAGTAACACTTGTCATTTTGTTCGGTAGTAACTGTCCTAGTGGGTATGGAACGGTACCTCACTGTGCTTTTGACTTGTGCTTACCTAAGTGATGCTGAGCATCTTTTCATGTGTGTGTCTTCAGGGTATTAACCCTTTATTGGATATATGCTTTCCCAGTTTTTCCTCTCATCCTATGGGTTGCCTCTGAAGTGTTTTTTGTTACTCTTGTTGTTCTGGCCACACCGCACAGCCTGGGGAATCTTAGTTTCCCGACCAGGGACTGAACCTGAGCTCCCTGCAGTGAGGATGCAGCATCCTAGGGACTAGCTCACCAGGGAAGTCCCTCTTTACTCTCTCAGTAGTGCCTTCAAATGCACAAAATGTTTTCATTTTGATAAGTTCAGCTTAGCTCATTTTTTTGTTTGTTGCCTGTGCTTTTGATGTCATCTCCAGAAATGGCTGCATTCTGAATTCAGTGTCTTGAAGATTTTCTCCTGCTTTCTTCTAAGAGTTGTACAGTTGTCACTGAGTAGCTTTTTAAACTGCTGACACTCAAGTCTGCTGGGGAAGGTTCTCTCCAGTTTACTTTCTGGGATGAGGCCCACACATGAATTTCTAAACCCCCCAAGTGATTGTCATGTGCCGCTAGCAGTGAGATGCTCTGGGCTAAAGGAAGAGGAAACAGAATGAACAAGTCTGCGCTCTTCCTCTGAGTTTTAAGGGGATGGTCTTAGATCTTGGTGCTTGTCATCTACTGGCTTTCCTTTGTGTCTAAAGGTCGAGTCTCTCAGGTAGTGTGTGCTATGACAGGAGAAAAAGCACTCTCTCCTGGCTTTATTTTTATATCAAACTGAATATTAAACCTAACATCTGCTACTCATGTGACTCAGATCTGTGTTAAGGCTGAGCCTATTCCATAATTCTGTTTTTCTCACATGTAAATATTACACATCAAGAAAAGGAAAAAAATTTTAAATTCTACATCATAACTAGTCTCACTAGTTTAAATGATCCTTAAGCTAGTTTAAATGATCCTTCTGTTAAACATTAGATGGGATATTTGGGTACTTGAATGACTATAGGAAATTCACTATCACGAAAGTTTGAGTGAGTATATTTTTTTCTAGTTAAATGAACGCTTGCCCAAGGAGAAAGTGAACTTTTTTCCTTGCATTTTGGTTCACTTCACACACCTGCCAGAATTGCAGTTGGTAGCTAGTTCATTCACATATTCTACCTCTAGAGGGAGTAATGATACTAGAGAATAATAAAAGTAAAAAAAAAACTTGAAATTTCAAATGTATTATACCGGTATTGAATTTGGATCAAATTACTGTGGGAAAGCAGCTTTTCTTTTTTAAATGAAGAAAATCTATCCACATATAGGATTTTTTTTCCCAATTTTGATCTGTTTGATATATTTTAATAATTTCCTTTTTGAATTTATTTTTAATTGGAAGACACTTGCTTGACATTGTTGTGTTGGTTTCTGCCATACATCCACATGACTCAGCCATGGGTATACCACATGTAGGATTTTTTAAATGAGAGAAGAGATGGTACTGCGAGATTTAGAAAGAACAGAGTGGCATGCTTGACATGAAGTCGAGTTCATGAGAGTCCAGTTCTTAGTTGTACTTCCTATCCAAACAGACTGGCGTTCCTTTTGGTAAATGTAGTGTATGTAGGTCCAGTACCAAAAATAGAGCCTGTAACTGGGAACTGCTGATTTTTATCTATTTACTTTTTTCCTTCCCTTCCCCTCCCTCCTTCCTCTTCCTCTTCTCCCTCTCCTTCCCCCACCCCTCTCAATTTATTAAACTTAAAAAAGGGGAAGGAACCAGATGACATTTTGTCAGTTAAACCTACTAGTGAAAAATAAAGACAGCTGTAAATTAATGGCAGTAAGTTTGCTTGAAACAAAATATTATTTATTGCCTTAAACTACATAATTTTTAGTTACGTAGTTATAATTTCAACTCCAGAATTCTAACCTTGAAAATGTATGTACTTGTAAAAATATCTTTTGGAAACACAAAAAGGCTAAGGTTAGAAATCATTTTTAAATAGAACACTTAAAGTAACATACTAATTTTGTTTTCAATTTCTTTCTAAACACTAGATGGGTGTTTTCAATACTTGCTTTAGTTGTCCATCGTCTGAGTGTCCTGGCTAGAATGAGAGATTCGTGAATGCATCCCTTGGTTTGTTTTTGGTTTTGGTGCACTCCACTGCCTACAACAAAAACCCTTGAACCATTTACCCAGTAGTTGTTGAATAAAATAATCTGTCATAGACCTCAAAAACTCCCATGTAAGACATCTTCATTCCTTTTTCTACCTAAAACCCCCAAGTGCAGGAAACCCTACCTTCTCAGATTCATTTTAATGTAATTCTGTGTATGAATTACAGGGTGCTCTTTTCAGGGAGATTGATAGTATTCCTGCTTTTTAGATTTAGGAAGCCAAACCTCATCTTAATGGCTTTCTGGATTGATGGGCAAGTTACTGGTAGAACTGAGATGTGGCCACTTGCCTCTGGCTGCTCTGCTCTCCCTGTTCCAGCAGATTTTTTGCTGCTGTTTCAGCTCAGTGCCGCTCCTCTTCACCCGCCTCATCTCTTCTCCTTTCCTTCTTCTTCCTCTCATTCCTCACCCCACACCCAGAGAAGACTTCTGCTTTGCCAGTCTCAACTTTCTTTATGTAAATCACTATTTAAAGAAATGGGAGAAATGTTATATTAAGTTATATTATAACTTATAAGTTATATGTTATATTACGTTATATCTTAATTCATAGATAAATTACTATGAAACAATTATATTTTAAATATACTAGTCAATACACCTTTCATTGGTTAAGACAAAATTCTTCATTTGCCCTTCCTTGTGAAAAATCAGACTGGCACCAAGATTGCTGTTGTTTAGTCGCTCAGTCATGTCCAGCTGTTTGTGACCCCTTGGACTCCAGCACACCAGGCTTCCCTGTCCTTCACCATCTCCCAGAATTTGCTCGAACTCACGTCCCTTGCGTCAGCAATGCCATCCAACCATCTCATCCTCTGTTGTCCCCTTCTCCTCCTGCCTTCAGTCTTTCCTAGCATCAGGATCTTTTCTAATGAGTTGGCTCTTTGCAACAGGTGGCCTAAGTATTGAAGCTTCAGCTTTAGGATCAATCCTTCCAATGAATTTTCAGGGTTGATTTTCTTTAGGATTGACTGGTTTGATCTCCTTGCTGTCCAAGGGACTCTCAAGAGTCTTCTCCAATACCACAGTTCAAAGGCATCAGTTCTTTGGTGCTCAGTCTTTTTTATTGTCCAGCTCACACATCCATACTTGACTGCTGGAAAAACCATGTTTGACAATGCAGACTTTTGTCAGCAAAGTGATGTCTCTGCTTTTTAATATACTGCCTAGGTACAAAGATAACAGAATAGAAAACGAAACACTTCTTTCTTCCTAATAATTGCTGCTCTGAAATGACTTCACTATTTTTCATTTCTAGTTTTACTTTAATTATTTTATGCCTTTTTAGTTAATAGTGGGATATATGCATGCTTCTTCTCATTGTAACAGATACTGTTTGACTTCTGCTGTCATCTATCCCTATTGATAAAAACACGGCCATCTCTTTGCATCTCAGTGGGAGAGGTTGATATCGACATTGTTACTTTCCTAGTGGGACAACCTATTTTTTTCTTTCAGCATGTACCATGGAATGACCTTTGCTTCTTCCCTGTTTCTGTATCTGTGACATTTTTCTAAGAGGAAGTTGAAGTGCTTTAGAATACATGCTCATTGATGATACACAGTAAATCTTACTTCCTGCTGGAAGCTGGTAGAGCACGTGTAATACCACTGAGATTAGATGTCTCACCTCCAAACCAGTCCCTGGTACTCCGGGAGCCCTCTCTCCCCCACTCCCTGTCTCCAAACGGCACCTCTCTTTGCAGAACACTGCAGTGTTGCTGCAGCTGCAGTGTTGCTGGTTACAAGGACAGGACTGCAGAGGTGTGTGCCTCTGCTGTTGGTACTGGTCCCTGGTACTCCGGGAGCCCTCTCTCCCAAACTCCCTGTCTCCAGATCTCTGACTCCCAGGCTTCCACTGCATCCCCCTTTCTCTTCACCCTGCTGCCACGCTCAACAAACTGGTCTCTGGTGATGTAATCATGGTTAGAAGGGAGTGTATTTGCTAGTAATAGACCTGAGAGGTTAGACAAAAGATACTGGACTAAAATGAAACTTTGTGTAAGGACTTGGGGTAGTAAAGCATTGCTCTTGTGAAGCATCCTTTTGAGGTTAACTCTTCAGAGGTGGAGAGATGGTGGTGCTTTTAGCTTCTCAATAACGGGGCCAGTCACCGTTTACAAGTAGACCACAAAAAGAGCAGTATAGGGGGGTCGGGCGGCAGGGTGGGCGGCTCACGGTGGGGTCGGCGGTGGGGTGGGCGGCGCACGGTGGGGTCGGGCGGTGCACGGTGGGGTCGGGCGGCGGGGTGGGCGGCGCACGGTGGGGTTGGGCGGCAGGGTGGGCGGCACACGGTGGGGTCAGCGGCGCACGGTGGGGTCGGGCGGCACACGGTGGGGTCGGCGGCGTGGCGGCCTGTGGGCCCTGCAAGGGCTTGGGTTTTACTTCTCACCCGAGAGGCTCCTGTGGGGCTTCTGGAAGGTGGTTGTTGCAGCTTCCTCTGACTTTTTGTTTCTTTTAATTTTATTTGTTTTTGGCTGTGCTGGATCTTCGCTGCCGCACGGGCTTTCCCCTGTTGCAGAGGGTGGGTCTGTGCGCTTATCGCGGAGCCCGGGCTCCAGGGCGTTCAGTCTTCCGTGGTTGCGGCGCTTGGGCTCCATGGTTGCAGGTCCCGGGCTCGAGCACAGGCTCAACAGCTGAGGCGCACAGGCTTAGTTGCTCCAAGGCGTGTGGGACCTGCCCTGGCCAGGGACTGAACCTGTGTCTGCGTAGGCAGGCAGACCTGAGCCGCCAGGGAAGCCCTTGCTCTGACTCTGTTGTCAGGCCCGTTTGGGCTTCCCTGGCGGCTCAGACGGTAAAGAATCCGCCTGCGATGCAGGAGACCTGGGTTCAATCCCTGGGTTGCGAAGATCCCCTGGAGAAGGGCATGGCAGCCTACTCCAGTATTCTTGCCTGGGGAATCCTATGGACAGAGAAGCCTGGCGGACTACAGTCCAGGGGTTTGCAAAAAAAGGGAAAAAAAAAAAAAAAAGAGCAGTATATTTAATTACAATAAAGTGGGGAGGAGAGACTTGAAAATATACACATCCAAGAGCAGCAGGTGGAGGAGGTGATTTAGGCTGGTAGAACAGCACAGAGGCCACCCAGGAAGCAAGAGTCAGGTCATAGAAGCTGAAGCTCCTGTGAGAGATGGACAGGTCTGTCTCGCTCTCTGATGTGTTCTCTCTTAATAAGTAAACCTGATATTCGGGAAGGATATGTTGGTTTTCTGTTCCTCTAAGTTTTGTAACTTCTGGCTTTGGAGAGATTAGGTCGTATACAATAACATAGCACCATGGTCCTACCCGTAATGTCAAAGGTGTCTGAAACAACAAGTGTTTCTGCTACCAAACACTTCACTAATACCCACCTGGAAAGTGACAGTGTTTGAGATGCCTCATTATTTGAAAGTCTTAAATAAAAAGCCTGAGTGGTATTGTCTGATAAAGCATCTGAATGGAAGGTTTATTTTGAAATCATGCTTATGTACGTATGACTTTCTTCTGTTCCATTTTCAGGTGGCATCCTTGGCTGGGCCTGGAGGGCAAGTGGAAATAGAACAAAACTTTCTTAATAATAGATTGAAGACAATCACTGCTTATTTTGGGGACCTGATCCAAAGATCAATCTCTGAATCATAAGTGAGGTGGGACAGAGACCAAAAGGTCATGTAGCAGTCAGATTATCATTCACCGGAATTTCTCTCTGTGCTCACTGATGTTTTATGCACAGAGTCTAGTGGGTATCTGTGCCCAAATACACATTTTCCCCCACTGGTGCAATACTATGTGAAATTTGCTTTTAAGTATCCATTTATTTTATAGTTAGTGTTTTTTAGGTTTCTATGGGAAAAAATGAAATATATTTTATAATGTAAAAGTTTATATTCTTTTTCTATTAAAACGGCAGTCAACGGAGGAAGAATATGTCTCTTAATTTTTAATCTAAAAAGTGTGTTCAGTCATTTTTACAAGTAGGTTAGAATTCATGGACATGGGGCTCTCTGGCCACTGGGGATGTGGGACCTTTATCTTCCAATAATACAGATGTATTAAACATTAAACAAAACATGGCTTTGGCTGGGATGGAGCCAGGGGATTGAAATAAAGTAGAGAATTTCCAGTAAATATTAGAAAAAAGTAACTGTTAAATAAAAAGCAATTGGTGGAGAATGGAGCAATGCTAACTTTAGTCTTGAAACGTCACGAAGTTTGCCTGTTTGCCTTGCAGTATGGGAGCAGTTGAACTGATCAGTAAGGATTAAATTAATTTTTAACCTGCAACATCAAAATCTGTCAGCGTTCTAGGTTTTTATACTTTTTCATCAGGTAGCATTAGTGTCTATACCCTAAACTTGTCACCATTTTTTAAACAATGGCAGCATTGGTCATCCACAGCTCTATACATGGCCCTTAGCACTAGAATATGCTTATTGGCTTCTTGGGGTGGGAGACGGGAGGGGTAAAAGCAGATATCCAAAATCACCAATTATTTTTTAGTTTTTGTCACTTAACCTTTCATGCATATACTTTGTCCACAATGCATTTTCATGCTTGTATGTTGTTATTGTTAAAGCTAATTTGTCTTACTGAGCATACATGACTGTATGCAAATAGAATAGGAAGCGCCCGCTGATGGCACAGAGATAGCTGACTTATAAAATGACTCACTGATAGATTATCAGTAGTCCAAGGAATTTATCAAGCAATCCCATTGTTCAAACAAAATCTTCCTTAGAAGCCAAATCGTGTTCTAGTTCAACTCATTTTTTTTTTTTCTTCTTGCTATGAAACTTTTTAAAAACACTTTTATAAAAGTGAATATATATTCCAGCAATTTAAATACAAAGTTAACACACCTACCCTACTGTCCTCTCTGCCGTGACCCTTCCCCTGCATCCCTATTGCTCACATTTCCACTCCTCTTCCCAAAGGCAACTACTGTTGACACTTTGGTGTGTATCCTTTAAGACACTTCTCTGTTCAGTGTAACCTTGTCTTCACACAGTAGGGTGGTGTGGGATTGGATTGATTTTTGTTTTTAATGTCTTACAAATTTTTCCACAGAAATACATATATGTCTTCTAACAGTCACATAATACAAATCTATGAGAATTTCTTTAACCATTACCCAACTATGAACTCATATTGTTTCCAGGTTTCACAGTTGCAGATAGTACCACAGTGTATATTTTTAAGTAGCATAGGTTCCTAGAAGTGGAATTTTTAAGTCAAAGGTCATGGTTATTTTTTTATTTAGTGTATCATGTTAGGTTGCCGTACAGAAATGTATATCCTCATTAGCTATGCATGAAACAGACTGGTTTTCCCCACAGCCTCAAAAACATCGTATATTTTCACTTCTTACTGTCACCAATCTGAACAGTTATTTTAATTTGCATGTTCTGATGACTAGTAACTGTGAGCAGTTTTTCATTTATTTATTACCTAAAATACATGTGTTAGGCATCTAATGTTTTCACCAAATGACTAGCTAATTGCTATACCATTTACCATCAAATGAGCTAACACTTCTCCATCATGACGTTTGACCTTCATGTGTGTGTAATATTCTGTTTGTGAAAATTTTTTTCTATTGATCACTCATCCATTCTGGTGCCATATGTTTGTGTGTGTGTGTCCTATGTCTTTGATTACTGTAGTCTTTGTTATATGTGTTGATAGTTTTGGCTTCTGTTATTAGTGTCGTTAAGTTTTTCTTGGCTCTTCTTGAGCATTTTTACTTTTTCAGATAAGCATGGATTTATCAAGGTCTATTTTAAAAACCCCAGCCTTTGGGATTTAAAATTTTCAGTTTAGAAAGACTGATATCTTCACAGCATTGAATCTTCCTCTCCAGAAACTTAAGAAATGTCCTTTCATTAATTCTGGTCTTTTATATCTTCCAGTAATGTGTCATTTGTAAATCTTCTATATTTTTTGCCATGTTTATTGCTTGATGCTTCACACATTTTTTTATTTTGAATAGGATCTTTTTGTTGTTAAATTTTCTAGCAAGTGTATTGTGTGTGTGAAACAGTGTGTTTGATTTCTTCCTTACATCCAGTCACCTTAGAACTCTGATAGTTCTGATAGCTTTTCTGTCATTTTGCTTTGATTTTCTAGATAGGGGTCATGACATCTACATGAGTTGTTCTCTTTTGCTGACATATTCTTTTCCTGTTGCATTGGTTAGGACACCAGGAATGTCATGATAATGACGCTTTTCCCCCTTGCTTTTTATTTTACAATGAAAGGTTAGAAGCATTTTTTTAATGTTATTGCAGTAGCATTAAAATTAAAGATACTGTTTTCCTTTCCTAGAGTTTTTGTTCATATTTAATAAAACACTAAATTACTTTTGATATTTCCAATTATTAAACCACATCTGCATCTTGTCTTTAAATCCTGCTTTATCATATTGTATTATCTTAGTTTACTGGTGGATTTCACTTGAAGATTTTACTTTGTTCTGTTTTGCTTATGTTTTTCGTGTATGTGTGTGCCTTGTTTAGTTTTGGTATCAGAGTTAGACTCTTCTGGCAGAATACTCTGGAAAGTATTTTACTTTTTTCTGTGTCCTAAATAACATTAATCTTTTTATTCCATTTTTTTAAGTGTCTTGATAAGTTTATTTTTTAATTTTAATTCCCTGAAAAATACAGGTCCACATAGATGTTGGTTTATTGATATAAAGTTAGTACATTAGCTCATATTTGCTTTCATTCTTTAACTTTTCATTTTTTAATAATTTCTGTCATAAAAATGTTGGAAAACAAACACAAAAACTTTTCATGCAGTGTTTATTTATCTTCCCAAATGTTAATGTCTTATCTCAGGCTCTTTATAAGAAGACCCAGACAATTCTGGATGAAACAGTACAGGAATGTAAGGGGTAACATGAAATGCCCCCATAGCCCTCACCAGTCAAGGTCACAGCCTAACCAGCCCCAGGTCAGACTTCAGCCCAGCTTAAGGGAGTTGTCTGCTACCATCATAATGCTGACATGTCGTGTCAATATGTACTGTTAGCTTTTTTATTAACTTAGCTAATTTTTAAAATAATTATTTGAAAAAGAAATTCAAATGTTGCCAAAAATGTAGAAGTCACTATCACTTTTAAATTTATATATTAATATTTTTAAATTGCATCCATTTACTTCCAAAATGGTATGGATACACTCTGAAAAACAGCAGAATGGTGCGTGGCAAAGATGACACAGGGGCTTCCTTGTTGCTTCAGTAATAAAGAGTCTGTCTGCCAGTGCAGGAGACATTGGTTCAATCCCTGGGTCAGGAAGATCCCCTGGAGAAGGAAATGGCAACCCACTGCAGTATTCCTGCCTGGGAAATTACATGGACAGAGGAGTCTAGCTGGGTACAGTCTGTGGGGTCACGAAAGAGTAGGACACAACTTAGCGACTAAATACACACAACAGAGTCACATGGTCCCCAAGGAGCTGGCAAATGTGACCTGGCCTGTTTGCTGTGCCTCGAAAGGCTGCCCTAGGCACAGCAGGAGGACACACGTGCTTGTCCAGGTTAACAAGTTGGGACAAGACATTCTAGAAAAGGAATCAGCGTTTAGAAGACACGAAGGCAAAAGCATGCCAAGTATGTTTAGGCTTCGGTGAATGTCAGACTCCTGGAGGAGCTGCAGAAGTGTGAGCTGGTATCCTGGGTGGAGCAAGGGAGCCCCAGCTGCACCCCAGAAACAGTGGGGAGCTTTGCATTATCTACACACTGGGTCCCAGTTACCGTAGCTTCCGAGCAGCAATCCACGTAAACTGTATCTCAAGAAGCCGCAGCAACTAGACCATGACACGAGAACATCTATGCTTCTATTGGCCACAGAGCACAGGAACTGCCAAAAGCTTGTTTTTCTTTGATGTTTGCTGTTCACATTCACAGACGACCCGAATGCCCTCCATGGTTCCTGGAGGAAGCTTCCACCCACAGTCAAGGAACGTGCACCCGGCAGTGAGAGGATCCAGAGGAGAGGCAGACCCGGCAGGTATGGGAGACGGAGCCCACTGGGCCATCAGCTGCTTACTGCATCTACCCAGTGGGCGCTCAGCGACTAGAGTCCCTGTAAACACAAAACCATCGTTTCTGCAGGAGGAGAGTAGTCAATCCCCAGCTTTAAATGGAGAAGGTGGGACTTCACTGATGGTGCAGTGACTGACTCTGTTCCCAATGCAGGGGGCTCAGGTTCAATCCCTGGTCAGGCAACTAGATTGCGCGTGCTGCAACCACGAGTTTGTATGCCATAGCTAAAGATCCCATATGCTGCAACTAACACCCGTCACAGTGAAATAATTTTTTTTAAAAAATGGAGGAGGCCCTCAGACTAAACAGGATGCCTAATGGAAATGCTGAAGAATGTCAGTGGGAATCATCGAAATCCACACTGTTCAACAGAAAAATAATATGAACCACAAGTGTAATTGTAAAATTTTCTAGTAGCCACTTTAAAGGTAGGAACAAACAGGTGAAATTAACTTTATTGAAAATATTATATGAACTTGTAAATGATATTTAAAAAATTAGTAATGGGACATTTTACCTTTTTCTTACTAGGTTTTCAATATCCAGTGTGTATTTTAAACTTATAGTACATCTCAATTTGTATCAGCTACAGT